TGATTGACTGAGCTTCCCCATCAACCAAGTCTGGGAAGACAGTTTAGACAAGACCACAACAAAAGCAGGATCCTTCCTTTCTGTCACAGTCTGCCCACAGCAGGGCTCGCCTGTGGTTCTTTGTGCTGAGCACAGACTTTGCTGCGGGCTATCCCTCCCTGACCTCCACCTCCCAGCAAAGCCCACCTGCCTGCCACTTCTGCAAAGCTCTGCTGGCCACACAGCGAGTAGGAAACCCATCCCCTCACCAGATCTTGTTATGACCACAGAACCACGGGGCCTCTTATCAAAAGTGGAAACAACTGGAATGTCTGAGAAAGAGAGGGGAGGGGGGCGGGGGAGATGGAAATCCTATAGCCCTCAAAACTACAGAGAGAGAAAGTGGCCACTGAAGGCTTGCAGGGGCGTGCTGGGATAACTGGTGGTCGATAGGGAATTTCTCTGGGGTGTATGTGGAGAAATGCTCGGGAATTTGCTGGTGATGATGGCCCCCTAATTGTGAATATGCTGAATACCATATTGTATCATATAATTTAGTGTATGGATTATGTTTCAAAACATTCATCAAATAGTATACTAACACTTTGTGCTTTGGTCTGTGTATTAACTCTAACTCTTCATTGTTCTAAGTGAAGCCTCACAGCTCTGTGGCTATGAATTCTTTTTACAAAATAACAACATCAAAAAACAAAAGCAGCCGGGCAGTGGTGGCGCACGCATTTAATCCCAGCACTTGGGAGGCAGAGGCAGGCCGATCTCTGTGAGTTCGAGGCCAGCCTGGACTACAAGAGCTAGTTCCAGGACAGGCTCCAAAACTACAGCAAAACAAAACAAAACCAAAACAACAGAAAGAGTATGTCCCAGCAAAGGCACCACCTCCTCCACAAAGCCTCCGTCACTGCCAGGCTGAATTTGAACAATCTGATGTCCACAGGAAATCCATCCCGTTGCCTGTTGCGGTCTGACCACCTACAGGGCAGGAGAAGCTGAGCCACAGCGTTCCCTGGAGCCTGCGCGGTATCTCGGCCCCCACAACCCTACAGCCCAGGCTCCACCTCCTAAGAGGATCTCTAGGTCACCCAGATACACCTTAAGTTGGCAAAGCAGTGCACTTGACCCTCCCTGCTGCTGTAGGAACACACTGGAAGCTACCAGGACTATTGGAGACCATCTTCGACAAAAATACCACTTACCAGGGTAAGGACATGGGAATCAGAAAAATTAGTAAAGAGTACGAAGACACGAGTAAAAAATCATAAAACAGAAACGTAGAACAGTCCCGGGAGGGAGTTCCAATGAATACTGAAATTGCCCGCATTTAGTTTTCTAGGCCGTGGTTAATTTCCATACTCCTTTATACCCCAATATAAAGGGTGAAGGCAACAAAAGACTCCTTTAACACAATACAAAGGACAACGCAAACAGTTAATTGCTTCAATACTTTGAGACATCAATATTTGCTCGAAAGCGTCACCACAGCTCCCTAACACCCCTTTATACAAAGAGTCTGGAATATTATCGTTGGGGGCCTCATCCCAGCCCCTGGCACTCATCTTTGGAAGACTGGGCAGAAAGTTGCCTTAGTCCAAACTCCACCTCCGAGAAAGCCAAACGGTGACCCCATTCCTGGGAGGGTCAAGAAGGCCCACCAAACGGTAACCCCTCCCCCAGGGAAGGTCAAGACCACTCCCACAGGTTTCTTAGAGAATGAACACGAGGTCTCCGGGTTTCTCATGCTCTCCCCTTCTTTCTCTTCCCCTCGCCATGCTTTCCTGGTGCCACCCGGGAGCACTGCATTAAACATGGGCATCTTTTACTTGGTCTACTTGGAATTATTTGCGCCGGCAGAGAGGCTTGTCATAAGAAATAAACCTAACAATCAAGTCATGAGAATTCTGCTGTTTAGACAGTGAAGCCACCCTAGACCAAGTATACTGAAGGCAGCCACTCCCCAGGTTAAACCTCCTAATACAAAAGAAGGAGCAGAAGCATGCTTCATATCCTGACCATCTGTCAGGATGGAGTGGATCTACCTGTGTGGGCCATCTTACTGTCAGAAGAGCCAAGAAACCACACCCTAGGTCAGGATGTATAGCCCTGGTTGTTGTCAACAATTTTGAGCAACCCCAAACTCTCTGACCTTCAGACAAGGTGAAAAATAGGCTCGCATTTTTTGGCCTCCACACAGGACTGTCTGTGTCTAAGTAGTATGTGTTTAAACCTTTTGCTGAGTCCTTGTTCACATGTGCTAGGGCTGAGGGAACACTAGGTGGTCGCAGAACTAAAGCTATCACCTACTCTGACTAACACCAGGAGAAAGAATAAAGTCGGAGGACATTTTGGTCACATTAAAGATTAAGGGAATTCCCAACAGCCTAGCATTGTCTCCACTGACAAATCTTGAGCCATGTGGGAAATGTACAAGACGAAGCTTGTACAAAGTATATGATTAGTTTTGTTTTCTTTGAGACAGCGTCTCTCTATGTATCCTGGCTGGCCTCAGATTCTCCATCCTCATGCCTCAGACTCCTGAGTACAGGGTTATAAGACTGTACTACCACATTCAGCTAAAATGTTTATTTTTTTCATATCTAATGGAATTGAGTCACCTGCAAGAGATTCCCCCTAGTTAAAATGGGGTCAACAGAGCATCAATACAGCTATGAATTGAAACTCCTCTGGGGCCCTGTCTCTCTTGAGAAACCCACCTCTGCCCTTCTAATCCTGTACAACTTTCCTTTTCCCAAAAGGAAATCTTAATCTCTTCCCTTTTGTCTCTCTTTCCTCTCCTCCATGCTTAAATCTACAGTAGAACCTTTTATTTTAAAAGCATTTATCTTACTATTTGTTTTAATGTGTGTGTGTGTGTGTGTGTGTGTGTGTGTGTGTGTGTGTGCAGTGTCTGCAAAGGGCAGAAGAGGGCATCAGATCCCCTAGGGCTGGAGTTACAGGCAGTTGTGAGCTGCCTGACATGGGTGCTGGGAGTCAAACTTAGTTCCTTGGGAAGAGCAATACAAGATTTTAACTTCTGAGCCATCTCTCCAGCCCTTCTCTTAATAAAGTCCTATTTTGCTTTAAAAAATAAAATAAAAAATAAAAAAATAAAAGTGTGTGCTTTTTTAAAAAAAAATCCTTTCATTCCTAACGATTAAAGACAACAACAACAACAAAAAACCAAAACTCTAATCTTTCATAGATGGAAGATGTTCAGAAATAAGCTCGTTCTTCTGGAAGCAATAAATAAGGGAGGTAAACTGAGCAATTGCCCCAGATGTTAAATGGTAAAGGGTGACATTTGTGCCTCCTTCTTCTTGATGCGGAGTGTAACCGTGCACTAGAAGCTAGTTCCTGTGCTCAGTCTGCTGCGACGTGTCAGTTGAGAAATCCTCCGGAGGATCTGGCTGCGGAGACGCTGTCTCAGTGATCTACAGAGGAGGGCACTGGGGATGAACAGTGACACAGAAGCATGCGCTGAATAAACCCTTTCATCCCCAACTTGCGCTTTTCAGTCATGGTTTTCACTGCAGCCATAGAAACCCTAATACAGAGAACATCTTCAAACATTTAACGGACTAGGTATTCAGACTGCCACTAACTTCACAGAAAGAGACAGCCACCATGACCTCCTGCTTGGCAAATATCCCACATGAAGAATATCACTTCTTGGGCTGGAGAAATGGCTCAGAGATTAAGAGCATTGCCTGCTCTTCCAAAGGTCCTGAGTTCAATTCCCAGCAACCACACGGTGGCTCACAACCATCTGTAATGAGGTCTGGTGCCCTCTTCTGGCTAGCTGTATACATAATAAATAAATATTTTTTTTTTAAAAAAAAGAATATCACTTCTGTGGACTCTCAGACCAAGGGCCAGTTTACAGGAAAGTGGGGACAATGGGCATGGAAACTACACTATGGGGAGATCATCAGCAAAACGTGCAGGGGACACAACCGACTGCTTCTACAAATAGATTGGAAAGAAAACACAGGCCATAAGGATAACACGTAGCTCCATACAAGCTAAAACATACACTACCAGTATCAACATCTAAACTGCACTCAGACTCTCGGGCTCAAATTCTAAAAGTATTCATGCATGATAATTTCAAAACAATTGGGGGAATTTCAGGAACACTGGGAATTATTCATTTGTTTCGATGCATGGGGAATTGTGACTACAATACAAAGCATATTCTTTGAATGATTTACTAACACAATTACAGAGGGGATAAGATGAAATCTAAGGTGTGCTTCCAAACAATAGAAGTGAGGTTAAAATGATGGGGATTGGGCTGGCATGGCCATGGGGCTGGGGGTGGGTAGGTAAGTGTGCACCAGCTTAGGGTTTGTTCTGTTCACCTTTGTACATGTTCAAGTGCAAAGCAAATGAAGCTCAAACATGGATCATGTGTATGAAACAGGTGAGAATATATGATACATATGAACTATGGGCTTAAGAGAAACAAACTCAAACAAAGCAAAAAAAAGAGTTTAAGGATCCCACAATTGTGAAAGAACAATAAAATGGTGATTGGAGATATGACTCAGGGTTAAGAATTTGTATTGCTCTTACAGAGGATCTGAGTTCAGTTCCCAGTGTCCACATCAGGTGGTTTACAACTCCAGCTTGGGGGGGGTATCTGACACCCTCTTCTGGCCTCTGAGGGCACTGCATTCATCTCTCTCTCTCTCTCTCTCTCTCTCTCTCTCTCTCTCTCTCTCTCTCCCCCCCCCCCCCCCCACACAAAAACATCTTATAAACGAACGAAAATTAATTTTTCTTTGCTGTCAATCAACTTTTCCACACGCATGGTTTTAAAATGTAATACTTTGCTTTCATAGGCGCTTCACAGACAAACTCTCAATAGGTCCCGTGAACTAAAGCTTAAAAGCTACTAAACTCTAAGAAGAGTTAGAGAGAAAACTGTGGAGGGTTGCAGATCTAAACCCAGCCTAGCTGAGGTCGCGAATGGAAGGTGCAGGTGCACTGAGAACTGGGTCGGATGTGAATGTGGAGCGAACTGCTGGTTTAACGTCCCCGTCCCCGGTCCCTGCCCCCACCCCAACACTCAGGGGTCAGAGACTGCGGTCAGCTGTGGTCAGCTGCCTTGGCTGCACACTGGAATCCTCTGGGGGCATTCTGGAAGCTGTGAACATGAAGGACAGTGCTACAGCAATTGAACAAGCTCTCTACTGGAGGCCCGAGGCACCAGTGGTCCTAATTACTCTCCAGCTGACTCAAGTGCTCGGCCAGAGTGAAGACTCCTGGTGTAAGTGCAGGGAGGAGGGGTTTAAGTACAGCGCGGCAAACGGGGGCCGGTTCTGCTGTAATCTCTCCTGGATAAGTGGAGAAAATGGAGCTGCTAGTGAGACACCGAGCGCCACCTTTTTTCTGTTTGCTGTGAGTCACTTGAGGGTATTTGGAGATAACCTGTGTCCAGTCTGAGTCATTTCTCTCTCGGGTGTGACTTAGATCCCACCCAGCAGGTCCAAACTTTGGCTTCTTTATGGCTGAGCTGTGGGCTCCTTTGGTTCAGGTTTTAGCGAGTACAGATCAAGTGTGGGGCAAACAGCTGCTCTGAATCAAGCTGGGGAAGAGAAGGCTGTGGGGCTGCGAGGATTGACCTCCTGCTGCGTGCATTGACCCCCTGCTGCGTGCATTGACCCCCTGCTGCGTGCATTGACCCCCTGCTGTGCTGGGCTGTGCGTCAACCCCAAGTGACAGCCGGCACTGACCAAGCAGCGCCAAGCCCAGATTCCTGTCCCAGGCAACAAATTCCCTCTGTGGGATCAGTGTCAGGCACCAAAGGGTGAGGCAGACACAGAGTAAGGCTTTGGTGGGGAGCAACAGCAGGGCTAGACAGCCCCCTCTTTAGAGAAGGGTTGCTGAGAACTCTGAAGGTAGGGAATGCCCTAAATGCTTAACCAGAAACCCTGCCACACCAGAACTTGAAAGGGATGGCTGTGCCAAGTGTGAGCCTTGATTGCTGGATTGTAGAAACGTGGAGGTTCTGGGAAAGGCCCAGGGAAAGGGCAGGCATAATTGATTGGGGGCTGGGGCTCAGGGCAGCAGCCATTTATCCAGTAGTATGACCGTGGCTCACTGCTTAACTGTAGGATGGCAAACAGTGTTCATTGGTGGGATGTCTGTGACTCGGCACTGACCCAGGCTCACAGCCCAGCCTTGACATGTGAGTGCCGTAATCGCAGGGACAAGCTGCACCCTTGTCTGCAGCATGCTTGTGAGCCGTTGTTTGTCTCCCGCCTGAAAGGGTGGTGTGCCCAAGGGCAGTCCAGAGACCCCTGCCGTTTACCCCAGCTTAAGAAATGCTGGGATGTCTCTGTTCTGACCTAGCCAGTCCCTCCACCAGCGACCCAGGCTCCACCCAGGAGCAGCCCCGAGCCTCCACAGTGGCCTCTGGGTCTGAGTCCTTTGTGAATCTGTCTCGGCAGGTCTTGTGAAGTTGGAAGGAATTCCAGTGATGACGGAACGATGAATCTAGACTTGCAAAGCCACATTTCGAGCCAGAGAAATCACAGGGTTGTCTCTGGGACAGGGTGCTCTGACCTTTGTAATTAGACTTGTCCTTTGCCAAGAGGCTCCAGGCTTTGTGAGAGAAGCAAGCAGAGCGCACCGTGATTCGTGGGGAGCCTCTCTGACAGGCCAGGAGGCCTTCCTGCAGGAACAGAGAAACCCACACACTGTTCTAACATAGTAGAATGAGTTAGCCCACGCAGAGAGCCCAGTTCCGATGCCGCAGTGAGATCTGAGGTTAGCGGACTGACTTGGCAGGGAAGGTACCTTCGAATGCAGAGACTTCACCCAGAACATCATCAGGGGAGGCTGGGGAGCTTGCCAGAGAGCATACAGGCCCCGGGACAGGCTAGCAACGGGAGAGCCAGGCAAGGTTAATCTACGGAGATGCAAAAATTAAGATGGGCTGCACAGGCCTGCCAGGGGCTGTGCCACAACCTGGAAACAAGGCCTTGTCCCCATACTTTTCATGGTCACATCCCCACCTGGTTTCTACCACATGGGAAGTCCGCAGCTATGTGAGGAAGGGGGCTTCAGGAACCCCTTGCGAGGTTTCTCCCAAAGAGAGGCCTGGAGAGATGGTTCAGCCATTAAGCATGAACACTGCTGTTACAGAGGATCCGAGTTCAGTTCCCAGATCTCCCAAACAGAAAGGAAGCCACACAGCCACAGCGAAAAGTGTCCCAGTGTGTTAGAGACGCAGTGTGGTTGGTGGACACAGGGATGTGATTGTCCTGTCGTCACACCTGGAGACTATCCAGTGACAGCATTGTCTCACAGGTGAGAAAGCAGGCGCCAGGCTCTGAGTTCATCTTCCTCTTCCTCCTGGGGCAAAACCAACCACAAAGCTACAAATGCGACACTTGGCGGTGGGTGGCTGAGAGTCTGTGCTCTGTAGACAGGTGGCAAAAGTCTCGATTCTTAACCCTCCAGAGAGGCACAGTCCCTGCCTCGCGGGGTACTGCATCAGTGGTCTAGAAGTGGGATGTCAAGGGGCAGGCGAAGGGGGCTTCGGGGCAACACTGGTGATCCGCGCAGTCTCCGGATCCGGGTGGGGTTGGTGTGTGTGTGAATACTCTGAAGTTGTATGCAAAGTGTCACAAGAACCCATGGGACGTTCCTGTAACAAGGGCAGTGCCTTCCTGGGTCCTCCGAGGAAAACATTTCCTGAGCGGTCCCATTCCAGTTCCCGCAGAACTGATAGCTCGCCTGGTGATCTATCTGCGCCTGCGCCATCATTCGCTCTAGGCCTGGCATCCCACCCTGCAGCCCTCAGTCCTCACCTCCAGTCACATGTCACCACTGGAGGGACTTCCGGGTTGTTTAAAAGGCTTCTCAGAACATGCTCGAACTGGAAGTCCTCATTCCTCTCCCCTGGCAGCAAAACCCACTCATTCCCATCCCCTCGGCCAGCTCTGCCGCAGGTAAAAACTTTTCTCTTTTATCAAGACGGAGAGTGGCGAGAATCGGGTCGGAGAGTGGCGAGAATCGGGTCGGTGAGAGAGTTCCGTAGGTAAAAGCGCTTGCTGCCGAAGCAAAAAACTTGGGTTTGAATGCCAAGACCTCTGAAAATTTGTCCTCTGAGACCTACACAGCAATGCCATGGCACAAATGCTCTCACACATAAATAAACAAAGAAATAAAACAAATAATTGTAGTTTTAGCTTTTTTCCCTTTCTTCCTTCCTTCCTTCCTTCCTTCCTTCCTTCCTTCCTTCCTTCCTTCCTTCCTTCCTTCCTTTCTTTCTTTCTTTCTTTCTTTCTTTCTTTCTTTCTTTCTTTCTTTCTTTCTTTCGAGAGCCCCATGTAGCAGCTAATCTCTGGTCCCATTCTCTCCATTTGCTATGTGCCTTCATGCAAAATCTCCTGGCCTCAACTACCTCACCTGTAGAAGGGGCCAATAATACTCAGCTTATAGCAATGTTGTGAAATTTAATGACTTTAAAATCTGACTATCATGGGTGTCAGATTTGTGTCTCGTGCTCAAGTGCTCAGGACAGTTCATCGATGAGTCGGTCTTTCTTTCCTCATACGCTACACCCAAACCCGTCAGCAATCTCCATTCTTCAGATGCTCACCCCACCTCGTTCTCTCAGCAGCTTTCAGAACTCTGTGTGTGTGTGGGTGTGTGTGTGTGGGTGTGTGTGTGTGGTGTATTCATTTGCACATGTGTCCTTGAACATGTGGAGGTCAGGAGAGGAATTTGGGTCACTGGGGATGTGCCCTTGAGGAGACCCTAGGGCCAACAGCCTACTTCCTCTTTCTCTCTTTGCCTTACGGTGTCATGAAAGGACCAGTTTTTTTTTTTGCCATGAGACGTCATGCTGCCAGACCACCCCTGAGGAGTCAGACCTCTCACTCAGTTAGCAGACGAGTTTTTCCTGCGTAAATACTGTCTCTTAAGTTTAGGTCCTCCAGTAGTGGAAAGGTAACTAACCCCCCACTCTCCACCTCCACCCCCTACCCCAGCCGAGGCTCCTACCCACGCACAGACTGGACAGTCTCTGGGTATCAGGTGGGGTGGAGCTATGTACCACTCTGGCAGCCAGGTGGCGCTGCAGCACTTTGGGGGGGGTGTTGCAGGGATGCACCTGTAGCTGCAGGTGTCCTGGGACCAGAATTCTCTTCCTTTCTCTGCTCCCAGAAGCAGGCAAAGTTAGCAACGTAGACTAACCCTTCTCTTCTTGAAGTTGGGAAAAGAAAGGCCAGGAGCTCTGGCGAAGCCACCCTGTCAGCGGGCAGCCGTAGGTGGGTCACTTCCACTCGATGGGCATCCAGGACTAGAATAAAGGGCAAGGACTGCTTGGTGACTAACCGCTGCCTCTGTGTAATGTTTAACCCAGGGCTGCAAGCTTCCATGTAGTAACAGTCATGGAGACGTACAGTTCTGCCCTGGGCTGCCCATGCATTTGCCTGGGACGTGGGAAGTAGGGGGAAATTGCACTCAATTGGCTTGGTAGGTGTCGCTATCTAATCAGCACTGTTGACATTACCACCACTGCCGTCTATTTTCCCTGGAGGGAAGGGGAAGGCTTCTTATGGAGAAAATTGGTTTATCCCTGACATAAGACCCGGAGGAATGATAGCAACTCTAGAGGGGGAATGTCTGGGTTCTAGTCCACTGTTCCTCGAGGTGTTGTGTTGCACACTGCATAGGGAGGGTGCTGAGATCACGGTACACATGCAGTTCCGCTTTCTCCCATTGGGTGGTGCAAGCCCCACGCTCTGTCTCCGGATGGCAGAGCGGACTTAGCTGGGCCAAGGGAGTTGAGCACTAGGGTGGGCCTTTTGGAGTCACGCATGCAAAACCCTGGCTTTTCTTTGCAGCAACGTTTCTCCTTGGATTCAAGTCTCACAGAACAGGCACAGAGGCCATGGGCTTGCCTAGGCCTCAGATGGACTAGAAGTGGTCTCAGGAGGGTGGGGGGGTGAGATGCAACAGTGGATCGGTGGTCAGAGCCAGACCTTAGTCCAGCCTTTGCTTTGATACTTGAAGCACTGATCACTGACCATCTTGCAAATCCTGGGGTGGGGCAGTATGGAGGCAGGAGGCTCTCTGAGTAGGCCTACTGGAGAAGACAGGTGTCTTTCCACTCCCTCTATGGGGTCAAATGTTCTAGCACTCTCGCTACTCATGGCTTAACCTTTCCCACCTGACAAGGAGCTGTTCTCCAGCTTGGTTGGTTGGTTGTGCTGTGAGAAGACAGACAGTTGGGGAGGGCCTGTAGGGGAGACA